ATATATTATATATTACATATGAAAGGAAATCCTTATATATTCCCTCCCTTTTATATCTGCAACGCCTTCAGCTTCTTGTTTTGATGCTGGGCGCCTCACTGCGCATGCGTCCTCGCGGCAACTACTACTCACCGCGCGTGCAGAGAAATCCCACAACGTGCTAGGCAGAGGCTAGAGCTCACCGGAGGGATTAACCGGTTGTTTTTCCAGGCTTTGCTGTTTACACTCGCTTTCATTTATATCCATGCTATACTCGGTTTCTGCCGGCAGCTCGCAGTTCAGCCGCCCTGCCGCCGCCCGACCGAACTGACCGACCGGGTGTCTGTCTGGACCCTGCGATGCCGAGGAGGGAGGAGGAGAACTGGGTGGGAACAACAACAACAACAGCAGCAGCAGCAGCAACGACGGCGGCCTCGGAAGGACGCGTTCCTGTCCCGGTTCATGCCGCTTAGCTTCACCGGTTCAGTGCAGTCCATCCCGGAAGCCCACTACGGATGGCCGACGAGGATCCCCGGCAGCCGGAGCCCGGAGCGGAGAGCCCGGCCGGCCTGCTGCTGCCCGGGTTGCAGGGTGCTGAGGCCAGCGCTCTGCAGCTCAGGATCAAGAACTCCATCTGGTGAGGCGCTCACACTCTCTGCTGTGTTCGCTGGTTTAAATTAGATTTTACTGCAAATATCACCCTCCTGTCTTTWCAACATACATGAGCGGTCAAACTAAACTAGCAACACCAGAATTTCAGAAATCAAAATTGTATTGGGATAAATTGCAAAGGTATTGATTATTCAGCTCAATTCTGTACTTACTGTGGATGAAGTCCCTGGTGACATTACATTTGTGAAATGCTCATGAAAGCAAGATTACTCAGTATTTGACATCCTTGTCAATATAATTAGTCATTTGAATGCTAACCTATATATAAAACTATATATTAGAGGAAAGCTGATTAGAAATGTGTTCCATATCCAGTATCTAAATCAGCAATTAGTGCATGGACAAGTGTTAATTACATCCTACCTTTGTTATTATTAGTGACAAATATAGTATTCTGATTTGTGGAATTTCCAAACGAGTCCAGAACATTTTGTCTTGGTATGTATCAGAGCATGTAAACTCACAGAAGGTAGTTCGAAGGGAGTTTTGTGTAAATAAGTGTTCAGTAAACTCAAAGATGTTCATAAACCAAGAACAAACTGCTGTGTAGTACAGATAAGTTACGGATATGTTTAATTTTAGCACTGGTTTTTAATAGGTTTAATAATTTGTGTTTAAAGTTTTCATTTAGTACATTGTTAGTGTTTGTTTATAGCTCTACTTTAAGTTTAATGTACACAATATTTAGGCACAGAACAGGAACAAAGTGTTCATAAGACAGTGAGTAAGAGGAAACTTGTCGGTTGTGTTTGAGCAAAAGTCCCACTTATTCCTATTCTCCTTTAACCTGAGTGTTTGTGCACAAAGGGTACATCTTCAACATTTCTTTTTGGGAAAAAATTGTTATTTGATCGCAAATATTCAGTTCAGATGTCAACATGGACAGTGAATTACACATTCAGCTCTACCCGTGCTCTGCCTATCCATGGTGGGGTTTGCAAAGACAACTGATCGAGGAGACATCCGTCTGTCGGCTCCTGCAGAGATAAATCCCTCCAGAGGAAGGACGCATCCTAAAGTTGATATCTCACTGGGCTGGAGTCTCCAGAACGTCTCAAAATGTTCTGTTTCCTCACATTGAGTCGCACACTTGTCATTTGAATTTTGAATGTTCAAATATATTTGTGCAAGAGTATTTTTTTTCAAGAAAGTCACAGAGTTGTGGGCGTCTCAGACCTGCATCAAAATAAAGATGCTGCTACAGATACATTTCAGTTTCCTTTTGTTTTGAAGGACAACTCAACTAAAAACTCAATTCTGTCAACAAATTCTACAATTTAAATTTTTTTTACTGCAGCCGTATTCTGTCTGATCTGATCAAACTCACTTTCATGTCAAGAAAAATCTTAAAATATTGACTCTAGTTTCAGTTAGTCTAAATCTGAACATTTGAATGATCATAAAATTACTAAACACCTTTCTGAGCTAGCAAGAGCCTGGTTTGCTGAAAAACCCCAATAAATTAAATAACAATAATGTGATTTTTAAAATCTAAAGTGGTGAATTTAATGGTTTTACTGGCCTTTATGGTTCTTTACTAAATAAAAAAAGACTGGCTGAATGCTTAATGTGAAGCAAAAGTTTACTAAAATAAAACTTAATTAGACATTACTTAAATCTTTGTTATGTGGGTTTAAGGCAGGTTTTAATCTGATAGTCTTGTAGAAATGGGAGGATTAATACACTAATGTAGAAAATCTGTGTTTGCTGTTATTTAAGGCCTTGCTCTGACCTTTTATTTCTAGATTAACTCGAGTGATTTTATTTAAATATCAAGCAACTATAAAATGTCAAACAGCTGAATGACCCTAATCGGGTCAAGAGTTCAAAATGCCTGCAGGACATCCAGAATCTGACCGGAAACACATGACCAGTTTACCACTGAAGATGCTTCGGTTCAGAAAGGAACAATTTTAATTAAAATGTATATTTATTCATATGACAGAGACACAGTCGACATGTCCATTAGTTTTAGGGTTTTTTATTTTTTCATGTGAAGCAGGGCTCGCTGCTGTTTCTCATTCAAACCTTGAAATGACTGAACGGCTGCGCAATTCATTCAATCGTTTTAAGGGTCTGAGTTTGAAGGACGAGTTGCGTCAGCTCTTTATTTCTCAGTCAGAGCTCTTGCAAAACATTGCGTCAGGTGTCATTCAGTTTACCTGCCAGATCTACCTCACAAAGAGCTTTACAGCACGAGGAAATCCTCCTCCGCCACCCCCACCTGGTAACTGAATTAAAGTGAACCGTTCTGGTCTTGGCTTAGAGCGTCTTCTGGTTCTGACCTGTGCCGCGTCGTCAAGTAAGACTCTTTAATCGTCGCCTGACTCCGAGGCAACAACAGCCGAGGGCTGCGGAGGAGACCTGCGCAACTTAATCATGCGTCAGATTTAAATACTTTGAGCTAAATAAAAGCTGTTCTGCCCCTGCTTTTTTACTTTCACTGTGGTTTCACGAGGTTTTTATTGAATGAAACGACAGATTCTGTCCTGATCAAAGTTCACCGTGTGTCCCTGTTGGCGGAATACATGACCTGAGTGATGCTGAAGGGAGGGTCATCTCATACCAAACATTCCTCTGCTTTATAAATAAATACTCTTCAGAAACAAGTGCTCGTGTTGCACTGGCTTCATATTAATTTTTACTTTGTGTCTTTTTTTGTTTTGTTTTCCAGTATATCTGTTCAATCAAAAGTGGAAAACATTCTGGTAAGTATTGCTTTTTCTCCATAATTAAAACAATCAATTATACAACCTATACATAACCTAAACCTAAACATATATTTTTATCTATAATAAAAAAATAGTTATCAGTCTTACAGAAGCTATAAGTTTAAACAAAAACAAACAAAAATCTTCAACTTCCCTGATCCGTTTGTGGAGGCGTCCTCAGCATCATACGGAGCCTCGCAGTGCCTCCCGTGTGTTCCAGATTTGTAATTTGCTTAATTAAACAAGTTGGATAAAAGCTTCAACTAAATAATTAAATTTAAATGTTATTTTCAGCCAGGTATTAGCTGTCCTTTTTAAAACAAAGTACAGATAATCCTTACACATCAGCTTCTTACAGCAGCTAATAGATGAGACATATTAACTGAGCTCTACAACTTTTACAACCAGGTGCTTCTCTCACTAATTAAAACTTATCCAAACCATAAAACCAACCTRAAGAATCACATAAAAATAACGCAATTCATTAAATGTTTGTAGAACTAATTTGCAGGAGCCAGTTAACCTGTGCACATATTATTTGACAGTTGAAGGAAATCGAAGTATTTTAGAAAACCCATGCATGCACTGGAAGAACACGTAAACTATGTGCAGAAAGGCTCCCGCAGCCAGGAATCAAACATGCAACCAAATAACTGCGCGGCAGCAGTACTACAACTGCCAGTTTATGACTTTAAATGGTTAATAATGTAGGTCCAGTCTATACCCCGTTCATTATAAATTCAATATTACAGTATTTATGTCAGGACAGCTCTGTGGAGCAGTGGTTCGAGCTGTCGCCTCACAGTAAGAAGGTTGCAGGATCATCTCCCAGCCTGAGTGGCGTTTACATGTTCTCCCTGACCTGTGCACATGTGGGTTTTCTCCAGGTACTCTGGTTACTTCCACAGACCAGAAACATGCAGGTTTATTTATTTATTATTTATTTATTCATTTTTATTTCATTCATAAAAAATAAAAAAATCAATTTAAAACAAAGTAAATCAATTACAGAATGAAAAGGGTGCAGAAAGAAGAAAAAAGCTTTATAATATTGGCCCCTTATTAAAAAATAACTTCAAACAAACAACAACTTAAACTTGAACAATCTCCATATTTGAGAAAATAAAAACAAAAATAATTTATATAGGAAAGGTTAACTAGTAAGTTTGTCTCTATATGGATGGATGGATTGATTTGCATTTTTCAAAGGTTAATAAGCTTAAAACAACAAACAGCTCTGTGTCAAATTGTGATTTATTTCAATAATTGATAATTTTTCCTAAAAAATGTTGCTTTTTTATTATTGTGAGCTCTGAAGTTTTTAACTTACAGGTGGAATGAAATCTAAAATAACTTGATTAAATTAAACATCTAAWGTGACTAAAATGACTTTTCACACTCATAAATCTGCAGAAATCTGGTTGCATTAAGGTAAAGCAAGAGTACGTAAGTAGTTTGTAGTGCAAAATTAGTTATTATATTATTTTGTTACTTTAAAGCAGGATTGAGTCGAGACTTTCCATTATTTTTTTATTTAAAGGTTTAATATGTCTGTCTGAGGCCATGTTATTTCCCCATGCTAAATATCTTCAGCAGAAGATTCATCTTCATCGTGCAGAAGTCTGTCTGAAACTCTTAACTGCTCTGAATATGGGCTGCATATATGGCGCACACTGAGCATGATGGCATTAAATTCAAATTTAAGGCCCTGTCACAGTAGACAACTTATGTCAACTTATGAACATTTTAAAGACGTCTACGTTGAAGATGGTATTGAAAAAAATCAACAGGAAGCTTCTTTTTGGCTTGTACGTAATATAATTAGAAGAAATTGATCAAATTCCAGATTCAGAATACTTTAATGATCCCCGGGGAAAATTGCAATATACAGCGGGTAAAATAAGTATTGAACATGTCAACATTTTTCTCAGTAAATATATTACTAGAGGTGGTAATGACATGAAATGTTCACCAGATGTCGGTAACAACCCAAGTGATCCATACATACAAAGAAATTAAACCATAAACGTCCAGAAATGAAGTTATTTGTAATTATGTGGAATGGCACAGGGAAAAAGTATTGAACACATGAAGAAAGGGAGGTGTAAAAAGGCATGGAAAGTCAAGACACCAGTTGAACTCTCTCAATAATTAGAAAGCAAGCCTGCCCCTTGTCAGTGCAAGTTAATATCAGCTGGTTCAGTCCCAAATGATGGCCAGGTATCACACAAGAACCATCTGAT